ACACTTCGAGGTTCATGGGTAGTTGTAAGTGGGGTTATAAGTCCCCTAATATGGGTTATAAGTATAGTTACCCCACTTATAACCCCAGCAATAACTACCCATGAACCGCCAAGCAGAGTAGGTTCAGCTTCAGGGGCTGATGGCATCCCTGTGCGTCCTTCGGGGCATCCTGCAATGCATTCCTAGGGTCCTACCACGTTATTCAGAAGACGGGCTTCCTTGTTGGGGGCTCATGGGCTTTGGGGTTTAAGGTTTTTTTTAAAAAAAAAAGTGCAATAGCCTCTTTCTCTCCGCACGAAGCCTGCCCGATATGGGGCCTGCACTGTATGTGCCATGAGACTCTTCCCCATGGCAAACAAAAGCAAAACACCCAGGCTCAGCTGCTTTGTTAATCCTTCACTACAGCTTTAAGGTTTAGGGTTTAGGGTTTAAGGCTTAGTGTTTAGAGATTAGGGTTGAGGGCGTTTAGAATCTACTTGGAGGTTCATGGGTAGTTATACATGGGGTTATAAGTAAGGTAGCCATACTCATAACCCATATTAGGGGACTTATAGCCCCACTTATAACTACCCATGAACCTCCAAGCAGGGTTTAGGGTTTAGGGTTAGTGCCCTAAACCCTAAACCCTAAACCCTAAAGTGCGGCCTGAACAGGCCATGTGTAGAAGCGCTGTTTTGCACCACATCCGAGCCTACGACGCTTTGTCGCCTCTCTCAACAGACGGACAATCTCAGTGTGGCCTTGCACTTCTGGTTTAGGGTTTAGGGTTTAGGGTCTACTGAGAGGGTAGTTCTCTAAATTAGGGTTCCTTTTTGGGTCCCCAATATAGTACGGCACCCTTATAAAAAGAACCCTAAACGGGACCCTAATTTAGAGAACTACCCCAGTACTAGCCAGCGGCTCCAGCCTCAACCAGCAAACGGACAACTTCGGTGTGGCCGTTCGACGCTGCGTGCGCGAGAGCAGACTCGCCGTCCAGGGCGCACGCGTCCTTCTAGGGGCTCTAGGAGGGACCCTTAATAGGGACCCTTGTAGGTGATTGGGGTTAATATGGAGACTACCTGGCTAAAGTCCTTAGAGTCCTTGTCAGCGCCAGCCTCCAGAAGCAGTCGGACTATCTCACAGTGGCCGTGGCAGGCTGCGGGCATCAGAGCTTCACTGCAATCGACACCAGCATCAAGCAGCAGTTGAATAATCTCGGTATCTCCTCCGGAGGCCGCAAGTATCAGGCTCGGATAACATTTTCCATCTAGGTCGCGCACATCTTTGTCAGCACCTGCATCCAGTAGATCATGGACAATCTCGATGTGGCCGTTGCAGAGTGCGTGTGCCAGAGCAGACTTGCCGCCTAGATCGCACGCGTCCTTGTGAGCCCCAGCATCCAGCAGAAGATGGACAATCTTGGCGTGGCCACTATAAGATGCGTGTATGAGGGCAGGCTTACCGTACAGATCGCACACGTCCGCGTCAGCACCAGCATCCAGGAGAAGTGAAGCAATCTCAGTGTGACCGGCGCAAGCTGCATGGATGAGAGCTGTCTTGTGCTTCGCATCCTGCGAGTTCGTGTCCGCGCGAGCTTCTACCAGCAGGCGCGCAACCTCCGTGCGGCCCTTATGCGCTGCAACTCTGAGAGCTTGGCCGTGGAAGTCCTTGTCCGGAGACACGTGGAGCAGGAATTGTGTGACTCTGGCAGAACCCTCATCGGCAGCGTAGGACACAAGCTCCGCTCCGACCGCGAGCCTCTGCTGCTTGCTGCTAGCATCCATGGACAACATCAGCTGCAGCTCACACGGTGAAGTGACGTAGTGAGCATCTTCTACGCAGACGCCACCACAGATCAGTCGCTGCAGGCAGGCCGGGAAGCCGTGCTCCGTGCGCAAATGACGCTTCAGGTCCCAAGCTCGAATCTTATGCCGAGACACGGGAGCCAGCTCTTCTCCGGAAGCCAGCCAAATCCGCAGCATTGCAGGGAACCAGAGCCGGCTTGAGATCTGCAGACATGCATCAAACAAACGATCACCACCGCTTATCGGCCATGGGGTACTTAGTGCCTTGCTCCAGGACTAGGAAAGCACTACTTGGAGGTTCATGGGTAGTTATAAGTGGGGTTATAAGTCCCCCTAACATGGGTTATAGGTAGAGTTACCCCACTTCTAACCCCATTTATAACTGCCCATGAACCTCCAAGTATAGCAAATATGCCCTGAACCACGAGCCCGTCGAAAATCGAAATCTTGAAATCTCACAATCCCTGCCAGCCCGAGGGCGCTCTGCCTACCTATGGGCCCCCAACTCCGCGTCGCGGCTCTTTAAAGGGGCACTCGGGGGCCCTGGTTGAGGGCTCTCGGATTGGATATTGTCTCGGACTTCAGAGTTTCGAATCAGAACATGAGTGTAAGCTTCCATGCTTGAGGGGCTATCCCACTATAATGCAGGGGCCTCGATAATTACCAATACTATTGTGGAGTTTCCTTATTTTCAGTATAATATGATATTCCCCAAACCCTATTCTAATTACTAAGGCCTGTATGTTACAGGCAGGCACCTTGAGGGCTTTAACAAGTCATTATTTAGACCTCTATATGGGTAATTCTCTAAATTAGGGTCCCTTCTAGCCCTTTTATAAGGGTGCCGTACTATATTGGGGACCTAAAAAGAGACCCTAATTTAGAGAGCTACCTATCTTACAACTACACGATGGGCCGCTCCCATCCGCCGGGTCGCCCTCGGACGATTGGCGTTGGGCTGGTCTCGTAGAGATTGCCTCGAGGCCGGAAGTAGAGCACGGAACCTGAGTTTAGGGTTTAGGGTTTAGGATTTAGGGTTTAGGCCGGAAGGGTTGAGGCCGGAAGTAGAGCACGGAACCTGGGTTTTGCAGAAAAACTGCTCTTAAAGGGCTCCCGGGGTGGGATGAAGGTAGGTCGGGGTGATCCGAAATAAGTCCCCTCTGTTTTAAGGGATCCTACATCCTACCTAGCTTCATCCCACCTCCCGAAACCCTAAACCCCAAACCCATCCTACCTAGCTTCATCCCTAAACCCTAAACCCTAAACCCTAAACCTTAAACCCTAACTGCCTAGCTTCGTCCCTCCTTTTTAAAAAGGGCCTCTGAAGACTGCCGGGGAGTCTCCGAGCAGTGCCGGATGTTCGGGCGTGGGCTCAGTGTTCAGAGTTGAATGCAGGGGCCTTCATAAGCAGACTACGGGTTTAGGGGTTGTATAGGGGCCACTCCTTCATAAGTAGACTTGGGGTTCCTTTAAGGGTTCTTGAAGGGGGTTGTATAGGGGCCACTATGAGGGCTTTTTTGGGGTTTAGGGGCCTTCATAAGTAGACTCGGGTTCCTTTAAGGGTTCCTTTAAAGGGGTTCTGGAAAGGGCTACTATGAGGGTTTAGGGTTGAGGGGCCTTGATAAGTTGAATAGGGTTTTGGGGCAGGTGATGCCATACTGTTATTCAAGAACCCCAAAGTCGTATCGGTAATAATTTAGGCCGCTAGATTTCGGTCGTCCGCCTCAATGCTTTCCATCTAGGCTTCGGGCAAGATCCCCGACGGCATCTGTTCAGGGCGTTTGGCGTAATTCCATGCAAAGCCGGACCCAAAGAGAACCAGGGATACAACTTGACTCGGAAATCCTAAGGCCGCGCTGAAGCCAAACCCACGGGCCTAAAGGATCACTGAATTGCAGATTCAACCCACCTCGGCGAAGCCAACCCTGCAGCCTCAACACCCACCCGCCATGAAGAACCCCCAAGCTCTTACAGAACCCAAACCCGCTTGCAAGAAGTCTCGAAATTCCCAAAGACTCCAATATCCCTTAATTAAGGAAAATACCTTAAATCATTGTAGGATCCCTAATACGATTTGAGGTATATTCTTTAATTAAG